GTGTGGGGAGAGAATCACGTCGGGAGCACCACGCGCAGCGTCACGATCAGGATCTGGGGCGAAAAACGGGGAAATCGGGAAAAACGGGAGTTAGCCGCGTGTGGGGCGGGAAAAACGGGGTTTGGGGTGGGAAAATGGGGATTTGGGGTGGGAAAAGGGGATTATCCATGTGTGGGGAGAGAATCACGTCGGGAGCACCACGCGCAGCGTCACGATCAGGATCTGGGGCGAAAAACGGGGAAATCGGGAAAAACGGGAGTTAGCCGCGTGTGGGGCGGGAAAAACGGGGTTTGGGGTGGGAAAATGGGGATTTGGGGTGGGAAAAGGGGATTATCCATGTGTGGGGAGAGAATCACGTCGGGAGCACCACGCGCAGCGTCACGATCAGGATCTGGGGCGAAAAACGGGGAAATCGGGAAAAACGGGAGTTAGCCGCGTGTGGGGCGGGAAAAACGGGAGGGACTGGGATGAACTGGGAGGGATGGGGATGGGATTGGGATGGACTGGGAGGGACTGGGATGAACTGGGAATTACTGGGAGTTACTGGGAGGACGCTGCAGTTCCCAAAGCTGCCACCAGGGGGAGCTGGGGAGACACTGGGAGTTCATTGGGAGGGAACTGGGAGTGACTGGGATAAACTGGGATGGACTGGGAGGGGACTGGGAGTTACTGGGAGGGACTGGGATCAAACTGGGAGCACTGGGAGGGACTGGGATCAAACTGGGATCAAACTGGGAGTACTGGGATCAAACTGGGAGGGGCTGGGACAAACTGGGAGCGCTGGGATCAAACTGGGAGGGACTGGGAGCACTGGGATCAAACTGGGATCACTGGGAGGAACTGGGATCAAACTGGGAGCGCTGGGATCAAACTGGGATCACTGGGAGGAACTGGGATCAAACTGAGAGCACTGGGATCAAACTGGGAGCGCTGGGATCAAACTGGGAGCACTGGGAGGGGCTGGGATCAAACTGGGAGCGCTGGGATCAAACTGGGAGGGACTGGGACAAACTGGGAGCACTGGGAGGGACTGGGATCAAACTGGGAGGGACTGGGATCAAACTGGGACAAACTGGGATCAAACTGGGAGCAACTGGGATCAAACTGGGACAAACTGGGATCAAACTGGGACAAACTGGGATCAAACTGGGACAAACTGGGATAAACTGGGATCAAACTGGGATCAAACTGGGATCAAACTGGGAGCACTGGGAGGGACTGGGATCAAACTGGGACAAACTGGGATCAAACTGGGATCAAACTGGGAGGGACTGGGATCAAACTGGGATCAAACTGGGAGCACTGGGATCAAACTGGAACTTACTGGGAGCTGCTGGCGAGCACTAGGAAGACTCCATGCCCATATAAGGCAGAAAGTGGGCGTGGCTTAGGCAAAAAGGGGCGTGGCTTACCCCAAGCACGACAAATTTGGCCCCAACATTTTCCCGGATTTTTTTGGGGAATTTGGGAATTTTGGGGGAGGGGCGTGTCCAGCTGACCAATGGCCGTGTCCCCAACCCCAATCTGCACAGCGTGGGCGTGGCTTAAAATGGGCGTGGCTTCACCCAACCCCGCCATAACTCCGCCCTAAAATCGCGACATTTTGGGAGATTTTTTGGGGGGATTTTTGGGGGATTTTTTCTGCTATTTTGGGAATTTTTAGGGCGGGGGGAGGGGCGTGTCCAGCTGACCAATGGCCACGTCCCCAACCCCCTCAGGGTGGGCGTGGCTTCCCCCAAACCCGCCCTAAAATCGCTGCTTTTTGTGTATTTTTTTTGGGATTTTTGGGGGGTTTTTTTTGGGGTTTTTTTCCCGGGATTTTTTTTGGGGTCGTTTCCCGGGATTTCGGGAATGCCGCCTCCTCCGGCAGCGCGGCGGGACCTGGCGTCCATCGTCTCCGAGATCCTGATGTACGTGCTGATCGTGGTGCTCACGCTCTGGCTGGCCGCCGAGATGCTCTACTGCTACCGCAAGGTGGCGGCCGCGGCCCCGCCCCCCGACAGCGCGTGAGTGGGCGGGGCCTCTGCCTGGGGGCGGGGCTTAACCCCGGGGCCAAGTTCTGGGGGGGAAATGCGAAAAAACTGGGCGAAAATTGGGCGGAAAATGGGGAAATGGGGTGGAAAATGGGGGTTAAAATGGCGGG